ATATATATATATATATCAAGAGTTTAGGGTCAAAGTTAGATAGACATTGTTATCATCATCATCATCATCATTATCATTATCATTAATATATTGTTGCTGTGGGAAATGTGCAATCTCAGATCGTGTCGTCTTTGAGGTATATGGTAGCTGATGACACATCATCAATCCCAGGGATTTGTAGGCCTATTTATTTATACGGATTTTCAATGTATAAAGATGAAATAAAATGAAACGAAAGTTCCTTTAATCAACCCCGCATACATACTCTTAGTCATGTCAAGATTAATGATTCATCTTGTTTTAAAATAGCGTATTTACAAACCTAGACAACGGGTGCCAGCGTAACCAGTATGACAAGTGGCGTTTTTGTTACAACCCTCTGATGGCTGACACTCAGTGGCGTCACAGTGACAATCAAGAAGGCATCCGGGTCCATACTTGCCAGTCGTTTTAGTGTCACATTCTATGTTACATAAATGAGAATATATTGTGCTGAGCAATCTGTAGGCCTACTTACATATGTTATGTGTCAGCTTATGTGTTTGCTGCCCTCATGAATTGGTACTCCGCCCTCAGGGCAGAGGTGGGCTTCAACATGGTGTCTGTACATATGACACAGCCAATGTGTAGTATTCATGTTTCTTGTTGATCTTAATAAATGTTATGAAGCCAAACGGTTGTCTACATCGTATTATTACAACCAAAGTGTATAACACATACTTTTTGTTTTTTTTTAAATAGATATGAATATATATTGGTGTTTCCATAGACATTAAACCAAATAATTTACGGTTTAAATTTATTATTTAAAACATTATCTAAATGTCTAAATTTGCATTTATGGTTTTAATAAATTACATATAATAATAACAACAATAATAACAACAGAGCTGCATAATTATACTATACTAGTAGGCCTACTACTACTACTACTACTACTGATAATACCAATTAGCAATAACGACAATTATAATACTAGATCAAATAATACAATAATAATAATAATAATAATAATAATAATAATAATAATTATTATTATTATTATTATTATCATTTATTATTTTCATTATTATTATTATTATTATTATTATTATTATTATTATTATTATTATTGGTATCGCTCATTGGATCAATACCGGTATCCAATTGAATTACATTATTCTTGAAGCTTGGGCCTGGTTCACGTCGAACTTTATCTAGATATACCCGTCTTGAAACATGATACGATAATCCCCTAATTGCGTTCGATGCCAAGTTAGAGCCAGATAAACAGCCAGCCAGTTTCAGGCCATCGACGTCACACGGTAGAAAGGCTTGTTTAATAAAACATCTACTGTATTTTACGAACCTCTAGTACCGAGTGGTATTCGTTCAAAAAATATTGTAAACTACTGTAGAGAAGGTGTGAGTTTCCACTACCTAACCTAGCCGACCAGTATGAACCAACGACCAGTGCAGCAGCGTGTTCTATCGCAATCTAAGTGGTAGTAG